AATACTTTCGTGCATCATTCGATAACATGGTAAAAGAGAAGATTTTATAAGAAATATTTAGATAAAGGACAGGAATCATGTCGTGCAACATGAGTATTTCAATCCGTCTTCATTTTAACACGTTTGCAGACAAATGTTTCAGATTTTAAAATGATACATGGAAGTTCTCATTTACAGTACTCAATACAATGAGATAAGTGTTTCGTTAAATTGGATATACATATTTTCTCTTATACGCAATTAGTGCTCTCATCTAAAGTTAAACCAATGTAGTTAGTTTCCATAATGAACTTGAACTGTAAGAGTGTTCTTTTTCGATAAAAAATATAAATAAAAGTAGCTAAAAATAAACTCCATCATCAAAATTAATTATGTTAAATGTGATACATGTCCGTACAATTACAAATATTTTTATAAAGACAACTTTTTGTTAAATCTAGAAAGTTTAGAAAATATTTGACTTGAATTATCTTTATATTTCAGATGAAAATCTTCATATGAAAAGACGTTGCTTTAAAAATATTATAATCATAATAAATATTATTCTTGATTTTTAGCTTTACATTATAAAGTCAATTAAATATAAAAATTATAAAATTATATAAGAATTCAATAACAAGTGTCCAATGGATTAATTGAATACATTGTCAGACAGATTCGTTTGATAGTGTGATAGATTATAGTTATTGTATTACAATATGTGAATATTTAGATTAAAATAAAAATTATTTAAAATCAATATATAGCAATTAAATAATTCAAAAACAAGTGTAGTGACAAGAGGGTAGTTAAAATTATATGATTTTATTGTCAAACAGATTCGTTTAAAAAATGTGATAGATAATACTCATTACTTTTTATATAACTTTTTAAGTTTGTAACTCGTCCTTGTGTATTTGCTTCTTATTTATTCTAAAATGTTCATAGACATTCCATATGATAAGCAATGCATTTTTGTCTCTATTCTTATTTATAGATAAAACTCTTGATTGTTTATAACGAGGTAACAGAAGTACATTATTGTAATAAATCAATCATTTGATAGCAAAATTTTAACTGCATAAGAATATTAAACCAAGCTAAACCAAAAACATACAAAACATGAAATACGCCTGTTCGCGCTTTAAAATTAGACATTTATTTGAGAGCTTTGATTTAATAGAATTGAGTACCCTCAATATATTTGATATTCTTTATTGGTAAAGCTTGATTCAGTCTAAAGTTTTCTGATATGGCAAGAGTTAAACAAATACAGCCAATCTGTTGACCTACAACTTACTTACAACGTTAAGTGAATTAGATATATGTGAATCTTTAACAAGTTTAAATGCAAATGAGACGTTTTGCTCTTGAAAAGTCATTAAACAGCAAACAACACGATTTCGTGACTATCACTTTAACAAGTTATACAGCTTTAACCATAAAAAACTATCTTCAAATCTAAAACGTATTTTTATTTATGTGATTCATGTGTAGTTTAAACCTCTTAAACTATTAAAAAAAAAGACAAGTGCAATAAAAATAATAGGATTTGGAGGTAGTTACATGTACTTAACAATCAATTTTCAAGATAATAAGAAAACAGTTTGAAAACATGTTGATATATTAAACTGTTCTAGTGAAAGAAGAAACAAAATGGATCTGTTCTCGATTCGATAGCGATTTACATTGTCTCTATACAAGAATTAGGCATTGATTTGCACATTGAAAAGATGTATATCGTATAATTTGCCACATCGTAAGATACTAAAACGGGCAGCACGAATAATATTGGACAAAGATTTTGATGCATCCACTGATGATTTATTTTCTGAAATTAACTGGATAAAATTTCTGAAAGAGTAAATTATAAAAAAAGCTATTTTAGTATACAAGTCTCTTAACAATCTTCTTGATTATATGTAAAATCTTCTTACTTACACTGAAAATACACAATTAAGATCATATGAACAAAACAACTTCGAATCCCAAAACCCAGATTTGAGTTCTGCGGAAAATCTTTATCATATTCAGGGTCAAACTTTAGAATTCTCTTCCCTTAAATTTAGATATAAGAAATTTCACAGTCGTTCAAAATCATCTGAAATGGTTATACTGCTTTGATGTATTGGATGGCATATTTTGCGTTCCTTCAATCATCAGCATTGTGTGAATTTAAAAATATGACCAATATGTATTTTTTGAAGATCATTTTAAACCTTTTTAATGTTTATGTTGGATATTTGCTTAGGACGTTGAATTTCTTTTTAATTAATGAATGTGTGATATTACGTTTAACTTACTCATTATTTGACTTAAATAAGTATTTGAGATGTATTCTTAGAAATAAAATTGCTCAATCACAAGGACGTAAGATAATATCTGCGGATATTTCTAAATTCAAAATTTCACCACTACCATGAGTAAATGTAAAATGAATAGTGCTTGAGATGGTACCAGGGGGCGTGGACGGTCACTTGCACTTTCCAGTACTTTCCAGTACCGTCTTTGAACAGGCTCAAACAGACGGAGCCCGCAGCGTTTTCAATTTTGCCGTTTTACGCGTTCTTTGGGGGCTTCCGTTTTTCTCTACTAAGTCTTTATCACAAATGGAGTGCGTAAATAGTTATATCTAACTAATAAATTAAAACATATTTTTTTGTTTGTTTGTCATATCGATTCCATATATATCATATATTTGCATTAAAACAACATGTAATATTTGTTTTGCTAAGATGCAATCTACTTAAATAATAATAACAATATTGTCAGCATAACAATTGCTCCATGATGCTTATAAACAACGTCTTCGTTTTAGAATAGTGGGAATATGGCGACATAGTAACAGCAGGGCTAATTACATTTTTCAGCATAAACAACAATATTTATGAAAATCATGCCATAGCAGTAGACAGTTTCATCAATCAATTTTTGTAGCATTGTTTTAACACTGTTTAAAAGTAACATTCTAACACAATTAAACTCATTATTTTATTGGCAAAGAAATTGTAGAACTTTCTTGTTTTACCTAAATACAAGTACATGATTTGTAAATCTACAAAAAAAACTATTTCACATATAGTAGTCACCTTTGCTGCGAATTCATTGCCATATAATCTTCTTTTAAAATTAATGAAAGAATAAGATAACTAAATGTGTGCACGCCAAACTAGCAAGAATATAGTCTAAGAGATGTGTCACGCAGATAACGCTGCTGTGATATGTGCCAGGTAAACGTATGTCTTACATTATTTACGCTAATATGATATATTTTAAAACGTGATAAAAGTGAAGTGGAAACATTATGGTCATTATGTTTTTATCATATTTTAATCGGAAACTTAACTTTTGGTTGTTCCCAAAAGTCTAATTTAGAAATTTAAGTCAATTTTTTTTCAATGTTTTGTATACAAAAATACAGCTAGACATAAACACAAATATAGTTTCAATATACATATACTGAACCGTTTATGGTTTTCTAAAACTTAATGAATTTAGCTGCTTAAAATGATTTTTGTTTAATTTTTCATAAACCTTGTCATTTGTGTTTCGTGTTCATCCAAAAGCGTGTGCAAATGACAAATCTTAATGAAATATCAACAATGAATGATGATTCAACAACTTAAATCCTAAAAGGAATTTTGTAATTAGATTGATAAAGCAGTTCTATTTTGCACGAAGCACTTTACTTTTGTATTTTCTTTAGTCCTCAAGAGGTTTTGTTTGCTAAAGTACAAGCTATTAAAACTTTTTCATCTTAAGACAATTTATTACAGTATTTATGCTACAATGTCATTACACCAAGTCTTTTCTATTTCCTCCAACATAATAAATCACTATATTAAGACATAACACGTTAAGACAATATGAAAACTGTTCAAGGTACTTTTATTTGTCACTTGCGTGATTGGGCATCCGTCATTTTGATATGTTCAACAAACGTCTTAGAATGATAAAAGCCGTGCAAATTACCTTTATGGGATTACACGATGACATATACAATTTAAGATAATGAAAAAGCCGTGGACAAAGCTAAGCAGTAGGAGCTACTCTTTCATCATGTCTGTTCTTCAGTTTTATTGGTGTAAATTAATGTTAAATTGACGTAAACACATATTTATTATTAGTACTATGTACTTTGACATATTTGTTCGGTTTAAGAAATGATTAGGAATTATTTATTGATCGGTTTAGAATCTTAGTTATGCGTGTTCTTTTATTATCACAATTGAAAAATAAAAAACCATGGACACATTAACTGGACACATTAACTGGAAACAGTATAGTCATTACGTTAATGTTATAGACTAATCTGGGATTTTAATAATGATTCTTCCCTTAATTATGATCTAGAAATTGAAAAATAAAATCATTGACAATCATTGAGTTTGGGAGAATAATGTATTGTCGTAAATATATTATTTTCTCGCGACATTTTCATTTGCCTACCATTCTTGTAGCAAAAGACAATGCCCGAATATACTACTACAACATAATATTCTGTATTTAATTCACGTGAAGGTTTTGATTGTCCTAGTTAAGATGAAGATAACACAAAAATCTAACTAACAGGGTTGCACATTATTAAGAGTATTTCAATCAGAAATCTTTTTAATTACAGAAAGTTCTGTTTTATTAAATAATTATTTATTTTTAATATTCAAAAGTCTTAACAATTGTATCAAGCAATTAAGATTGAATTATTTCCCCAACTAAATCCCACGATTAAACAGTAACGTTCTAGCATACTTTATCTCCTTTTTGTAGTGTAAAATGTCAACGAAATTGTTAAACTCCCCTTGAACTTGATTTCTCCTAGCTCCGTATATTGCTATATCGTTTACAATCAAGAAAATATAAAATAATATCCCAATACCGCCCGAAATCGATCACAACCTCTTTTCGATCGGCCCCGGAAATGTTTTCCTTTTTCCCTTATATGTCGCGAAACGACGCGTGCGCACATCAGATGTTTACCTCGACTACAATAAATGTCAAAAATGTCAAAGCAATGAATTATGATGATTAGAAAGGTAAATAGGTGTTATTTTAATTCCAAATAATGAAAATTAATGTTTTTCACTAATCCTAAAATTTTCCCATTAATAAATCAAGATTATTTCCTCAAAATATTTCATAAACGATCTCTGTTTTCGTCCGTCTGCAAAAATGGATATTTTCCAGGGCCACGCACCTGCTATTGTAGAGTAAAAAAGTATACTACACTACAAAAGTTACGTTTGAAATATATGTATATGCTTAACTGTCAAATTCTTAATTGAAAGTTAATTAATAAACAATGTTACACCAATTAAACAATATTCTCATGTAATTTTTTCCAGCAAACTGTCACCAGAGGAGGGTCATATAGACCTTATGACTCTGACAACCTGACAAATGCATATTTGTCAGTTATGCAAAGTGAGATGTCCATCAGGAAAGCTTCCAGATTTTTTGGTGTTCCTTACACTACGTTGAATGACAGGGTAGCAGGCAGAGTTGATGTTGATGTTATAAAGTCTGGAACATCTCCACTCTTTTCACAGGAGCAGGAGGCACTATTATCAGGACATTTGAAGACAATGTCTGAAATAGGATATGGTTATAGTAGGCAGGAAACAATGAACTTGGCCACAGACTATGCCATCCACCTTGGATTAAGAGGTAAAGAACAAAAACCTCTGACTGATAAGTGGCTCTTCAAATTCCTTGGCCGCTGGCCAGAGCTCAAATTAAAGAAACCTCGTGCCCTTGAAATAGCACGTGCTAAGAGTGCAACACGTAACGCTATTGATAATTACTTTAAAAATCTTAAACAAATACTTGTTAAGTACAATTTATTAGAAAATCCACATCGTATGTTCAATATAGATGAAAAGGGTCTGTGCACTGAGCACAAACCCCCAAAGGTGGTTGCAGGGAAACATAGAAAGACTCAGGCAGTTACATCTAGCAAGTCCAAGATAGTTACACTGATTGGCTGTATAAATGGTGTTGGCCAGCAAGTGCCACCCTTCTTTGTTTTTCCAGGGGCTAGAATGGTTGATGGTCTGATGGCAGGTGCCAGCCCTGGAGCTGCTGGAACAGTGACAGAAACTGGTTGGTCCAACACAGATATCTTCTGTCAGTTTATGCAAGATCATCTTGTTAAGTACCTACCGGCTAGGGACAAAGATAACCCTGTCTTAGTTTTATATGATGGGCACAAGAGCCACTGCTCACTTGGACTAATAGAATGGGCAAAGTCTCAACACATCATTCTCTTTGTTTTGCCACCTCATTGTTCACACATACTCCAGCCTCTAGACGTAAGCTGCTTTGGGCCGTTTGAGGTAGCTTGGAATGCGGCTTGTCATAAGTATATGCGGGAGTCAGGTGGCTGCACAGTTACTAGGTATGATGTCTGCCACATTGCCTGTAAAGTATTTACATCCACACTGACTGTGAACAACATCACATCAGCATTCAGGAAGTGTGGTCTTTATCCATTCAATGATGATGTTGTACCAGACCATCAGATAGCGCCAGCTACTTCATTTTCGCAGGAGGCTAGACCAATTCTTAGCAAACCGACAGCTGCAACAAAGTCAGCAGACAGTTTTCTCGTGGAAAAAGGTGGTCAATTACTTAAAAATGTTGAAACTGCAAAAAAATCAAGAAATACACTAAGCAAAGTAATTGCAGGAAAACCAATTACTGAAGATGATGTTGTAAAGAAACACAAAGAAAATCAAACTTCGAAACAAAAGCCATCTAAATCAAAATCTAGCAAAATTGTATTACAGAAACAAAAAACAAAATCTCCTACACCTGGAACATCAGGTATTCCTTTGAAAAGAGCAAAAAAAAAAAAAAAAACATTAGAGAGAGAATAGATGAATATGAAAGTGAATCTGCAGATGATGAAATACCTGAAAAATATAAGTGTCTTGTATGCAAAAAATTCTCTCCTGATACTAGCAAAAGACCTTTCATAATCATAGTCAAGTGGGGTCAGTGTGATAAGTGCAATGGTTGGGTTCATTTGGCTTTCTGTACCCCAGTAAGAGTCTTAAGAAAAGGGGACAGATTTTTATGCCCCAACTGTGACAGTCTCACTACGCAAAATGAACAATAGAACAGTAAACTGACCTTGTTAATATGTTAAAACTGTTAATTACCGTTTATCTGAAGTTGAAATTTTAAAATTTTCGTTTAGTTGCTAAGTTGATGAAATTTTGACATTGTGTGACGCTTTTTATGAGGTTCAGTATAGATGTCGTAAAGTGATCTAAAAGTGGCAGTAAATTTAACATGGCCGGAAAATAGGTCAACATTGTTTTGATTGTATTGCATATTTGTTTTTCAGGTAAGATTTCAAAAAATTGTTGAATTATAATGTTGAAAGATTGATATTAATGGAATTATAATAGAAAAGTTATTTAAATCACTTCACTGACAGTTGTTGTTGGAAAGTTTGTTAGCTGATCGAAAAGTGGCTGTACGTGGATATAGTATGCCTTGTAATATCTTAATAAACATGTTTAGACAATTTATGTTTGAATTATGCTACACGTTATTCTAAGCATTCAAAACTTTTGTACATTTGGCAATGAATAATAATTATAATTCGGTTGATATTCCGTTCTTAGATCCTGAAAGAGGTCATTAGTAATATATAAAAAACATACCGTCTCTTTTTTATGTTTTTGAAATGAATGATGTTTTTTGTAAGGGAAGAAAAGTATTTCCTGATAATGAAGTTAACATTGCATGCAATAGTTTCTTTGCTTTATTACACTATATTTTAAAGATTAAAGCACCACCATGAACTTATTTTCAAAATCAAATGTAAGTTCTTCAGTTAAGAACCTCTTGTTATTAGTGCATAATACCATGATCGACTTCATAAACTTCCTATAAAATGTTATGATTTTAGTTTTCAATTGACTTTCATTTTTGGAGTTTCCAAAAATTTGCCGATTGGCTAAAAAGCTATACCATTGTGTATTGGCAATTAGAACACTTAAGTGATTAACTATAGTATATAACCACTTGATTTACATGTTGATATCTTTATTGCAAGTTATTCACATTCAACAATGTTGTATAAAGTGAACTGTTTCTCATATGTTCTAAATGTTTAAGACACACAATTGTTCTATTAACAGAAACAAAACTGAGGTTACTTGTATGTTTGAATTAAGCAATGATTCAATAATACAATTAACAAGCTTATCTGAAATTCGATGAATTTGAATCTTTATCTCAGAAACAATATGGATATTTTAGCTTTGTGTATATATTTGTACATTGTTGTAAGACCATAAAAAACAATATTTAAACAAGTACAATCATGTTAAACTTTGTTTCAAATTGATTATTTTACATTCGTCTTTTAAAAGTAATTAGAAATTAGATATTTATTTTGGCATGCAATCTTGACAAAAAATAACCTAATAAATGTCTCGAAGATAATCTAATGTTGGTGTAGATATGCAGGTTACAGCAGATACATTTTGATGCAGATAGATGTGTTAATTCCAGTTATCTTGCTTAAAATTCAATGGAGTGGCTACGGTCACTGACTTAAAATTACAACCCCCTTTCCGTTGTAGACTCGAATACCACCTAGAAATTTGCATTATTTTATGTAAGGTAACTAATTACTAATAATAGGACTTTTACTTAGTGTTTTCAACTTTTTGTGACTAAAAGGATACCCGGTCTTCCCTCGCTATTTTAACTGGATAATTGTTAATTAACCTTTACAATGTGGATTTGTTTTTTAAATGGACTTTTAGGTGGTTATGTTATCGGATTGACTTATAGAAATCTCGTTATTTAGTCATTGTAATGTGTTTTGCTATGATTTTAAACGAAATTGTGTTTACGCAAATAACTTTTCAGCAAAATAAAGAAACAAAACTCCTTACAATTAAATATATTGTATAGTTATAATATAATAAAAATTCCAATTCATTTCAGTCAATATATGCAATATTATCTTGTCTACTTGAAGAAAGTTGTCACCCTTATGTTACGAATACAATGCCTTTATATGTATTGCAGAATAAATTCATAATTATATTCAAATTTTAAAAGGACTTTTTTCAATCAAATAATTGCTCTACAATTTTAGGTAGGTAGCGTATAACATGACCTTGTGGTGTTGTAGTCGAAATATATTGCTACTATGATTGGTTTCCAGTTAAATTAGTCCATAAATATATTTTACTTAAAAGTGAAAGGCGGATATAAATATTTTGTTCTGCTGTTCCGTTTTAATGATCAAATTGAATTCAATCAATCAATCAATCAATCGTTTCCAATTTGAAAACTTTATTAAAACTTTAAATTAAGCCAATACAAAAAATGAAGATATAAAATGCATCTGCTTTCGCATCATTTAAGTTTTTATGTGACAGCTTTGAATTAATATGATTGAGTTTCATTAAATTACATTTGTCATTTTCTATTACATGTAGCAAAGCCTCGCCTAAAACTAAAGCTGTCGAAAGAAGAGTTTGTGTCTCTTATTTAAACAAAATAGACGGCTGAAACCATAGATATCTCTAAAACCGGAACAATATCCTATCACTTTAAAGTTTATGTGTTCAGTAGTTTAACGTTTCAAGACAATCAAAAGAAAAAATTATTGAAATTGAAGGGGAAGGCTGGACTTAAGCAGTCAATGTTCTTATCGTATGTGTGTGCAATTGTAGTTAGTATGTTGATATAGTTAGCTTAAAAATTTCTTTGACGGCTAATGAAAAGAACAATCCATATTCTTGTTTATCTTGTATATCTTGCATTTTATCATTAATGTGCTATAAGTCTCATATTTTGTTGTCATTTCGCTTTAAACTATTCAAATCTTACAAGTCATTTAATATGATTGTCATAAATGATCATAATTATGTGATATTGTAGCATGTGTTAAACCATGAATTTCAAAATAAAATACATTTAATATATGAAATGAGTAATCACAAGTAACTAGTCATATTGTATGTGACATTTAAATTAAATTAGTTTTAAACTTTTACTTTAGGACTGGAACTGTCTTCAATGATATATACCCTTTCACTATTTTTAACAAAACCTGAACATGGGTTAATTTCTGTATAAACAAACTGTGACTGTAAATATATTTACACACTGAATAGACTACAATTCACTTTTGAGAGGCACTTTGGACTAATGGAAATAAAAATGTCCCAAAAATATTATAAAGAAGTAAACTTTATTTAAATATAACAGTGTACTATTATTTTGTGTCGTATCGGTATCTTAATCATTTTATCTCTAAAATACATTTTTGCAATGTAAACAACAACATGAATGATGCATGGGAAGAAAATGAGTGGTGTTTAATATAAATAGTATGAAATTCAAATAACGGTTCTATACGTGAACATAAATAATAAACATAACAATCGCTTTTTAATAGAAAGCAACGTCTATGTTTTAAATAAAGTAACGAGAATATGGCGACATATTTAAAGCAAAGCTGATTAAATTTTCTTTAAAGAAGACAAACGGCAATATTTGCTTCAATTACGCCAAAGTTGCAGACAATTTCATCAATCAATTTAACGAGCATTGTTTCATCAACCTAATCCCTCTATTTCAGAGTAACGTTCTAACATAATTAATCTCTTTGTTTATTGTTTATTGTCAATGAAATGTTAAAACACTTTCTTAACCTCGAAAGAAATTGAGAGAAATAAAATAAATCCGTAAAGAATGTCCATAAGGCAAAATTGAAAGTGATGCAGACTCGGTTTCATTGAGCCTGTTAGTGGAGAATAGTGGAAAATGCAAGTTACAAGTCACACATCCTAGAACCGGCTTAAGCCAAATTCAACATTTAAAATGAAATGGTAAAATTTTGAGATTAGGATTATTTAACTAAGCTTTGTGTTTTATGCATTCAACAGTTTATTTTTGTACCGATCAAAAGATATTAAATGTAGGGAATATATTTGCAATGCTGTTCTTTAAGCGGGAGTCGTTCTTCAAAAGTGTATTTTTTCTGGATCTTAACAACTATTTCGAAGCAAGAAGATGTATTACAATTTACCCGGTATGATTAGTTTAAATAAAATAAGGAAAGCTTTTTTCATAACTTCATTTATTCATTTATTTATTCAATAAACAAATGATACAATGTAACAAATTAATATAAAGGAGGATACTATGTCTCACGCTAAGGTATGGACATTTTAATCGTGTGTATATCTATATATCAAAAACAAACTTTTTTACAGGTTATTTAAATGCATCAAAAACAAACAGTGAAACAAATATTATGAAAACCTTTGCTATACAATCATCTTTAAATTTAATTAAAGAATGAAATAACATTACGTTGACACGCATAACTGACAAGTTGACAAGTTAATACTGTAAAGGATTAATAATTGAGATGGCACTGGTAGGGAGCAGCTTATACCTTATGGTACATATATTTCATCTTCACGTCAACTAACTTGGGACAATGTCAGAACAATCTAGTCATTTTTAGAAGTATAAAGATACAACACCTCCAAATTGTTTGAAATTAAATGATCATTCTTTTTAATCTAAACAGAAAAAAAGTCTTTTAACTGATTCATAATTGAATATAATATAATATTGTTTTGACAGATAATTATCCATTCTAAAATTGATTTTAAAATAAGTATACTCAGAAGAAGGTAAATATCTAAGTTAATCAAGGAGATGAAAAAGACAAATAAATTGTATTTAAATTTTCTGAAACCTATCCTGTGTTTTGTATTCATCCCATTTAATCAATTTCTCAAATAAGAGTTCTAGCATGTGAAAAATTAAACAAA